GCCGTTATGTGGAGCAGCCCCGCGCACCCGAAGCTGCTGACATTGACGGAATGTACGCCCAACTGCAGGGTTCCCAACCGCAACAGCAGCAGCGTCGGGACCCCAGCCAGAGCCAGCGGCAAAATAGGAACAGCTCGAATCCTTACCAGAGCCGGCGACAAAGCGGCATCCCGTCGCACATGCAACAGGGAGCGGTCCTGAATAGTGCTTCAGATTCGTCCATTGAGAATGTGCAACGACCGACGAACCAGACGGGATACTCCGAAGAGCCACAAGTCAAGGAACACAAGGAACACAGGAGAACCCCGAGCCGGGGAACTCGCGGGATCTTGCAAAAGAACAAGCGGTTCGTCGACGCCTACGACAAGGATGAATACTCGCGACACGGCGGCCACGACCATGGTGGCAGTAGCGGTGCCGCGAGGAGAGTCATGGATTTCTTCCGTAGGAGAGGAAAGGACAGAGGCGGCGATGAGCGATGAGCGGCGAAGAACACACAAGTGTCCCCAAAAGGGGGCAGTGCTACAGCTGTCTGAGACTGAGATCCTGCCATGAGAGCGGATCATGCCTGGCCACCACCCGTTTGAAGGGCCGAGAATATCACACGCATATCCAGCCGACCTTGTCTGCTTTGCTGCAGCTTACGACCTGTGAGGCGCGAGTAATGATCGGCCTGCCGACCTGTGGACACCAAACCGACTGGTTGGTTCCTCTCGACCACCATTTCAGCCCCATGATTGTCCAACTCAGGGGCAGCACCGGCTCCATATGCTGCCAACACCCATCTCTGGCTTCAATGCTGAAACACTGATCCGAAATTCGAGTTCGATGATACCAACTACACCTTTGTGTTACCGATGACATTAAACTCCCCTGCAGGAGTGTTGGTGGAAGTAATAGGTGACGCGGAGATCACGAGCAGTCATTTCTGGTTGCACGATTTGAGCGGCCCAACTAAAGGGGCGAGGAGGGAAGATTTTCCACTGTTACATTCAATTCTGATAATGCCATTTGTTTTTTTATTCTCATACCATCCGCTACACATCCACACATCCACACATCCACACATCTCACCGACCATACCCCCAAAACACCACCATCTGTCCCCCATCATCTCCCCAGGTCCGAGGGGCCACTGGGTCGATCTCGCCGGAAGAAAAAAGAAAGAAACTGAAGGAGCCTTGAAATCATAAGGAAGAAAGACAAGGAGGCAAGGGGAGGAAAAAGTAGAAAGGAGAGCGAGAGCGAGAGCGTCATCAAGTCTGCATCTGAGGAGCTAACCTTTTTTCTTCATGGGGTATTTTTGTACAAATTAAGTAATCTCCACGTGGGAACAAAGATTGGAAGGGCGGGAGGAGAGGAGCGGTGTCAGAAATTCCATATTGCGAGCTAGAGAGAAACGCCAGCAGTAGGAGGGAGGGGAGGGGGAGAGAGCCTGGCCAGTCTATCAAATCCAGTCATAGAGAAAACATTTGGGGAATTTCCAACCTTGAGAGAAAGCACACACAGTTTGTGTCCATCCACCCAGGCAAAGCATCTCGGGTCTTGATGTCTGGTATTGTGCGGCATCGGTTCTGCGCGTGTGATGAGTGCGGCGAGTCGATGTTCTCAGTAGAGGAGCTACATGTACAACTTGAAGTCTCCACCCGGGCGCAACAAGCTCATGCAATTGCTTTGGTCGTCGACGAGTAAGCTTATCGGGGACCGGACATCCATCCTGATGAGACAGGTTGCAGCGCAGTGTGCACCCACCACCAATGATTAGATTCAACAGGTCAGGGACTGAGGAGTTGCATCATCCGCATCCGCATGCCTCGAGAATTGGATGCGCAGACAGGCAGGACCGGAGCTCGGACGCGGGAAGGCGGACAGCCCATTGGGGAGGAACAACACGGCCGCTTGCTGTTGATAATACATAGGTACCTACCTAGGTACCTAGGTACAGCGCCGATTGGTGTGTCGTCGCTTCCGCCATCCAACACCAAAGCTCAATCACATTTGGTATCTCAGGAAGACCAGGACTTGCTCCCTACGAGGTCACGGCCCATTGTGGCAGCTGGTATCAGAAATAATGAAGTCATTACGGTTGAGAAGGTGCAATGTACCATGCCCCCCTCCCATTGTGTCTTTGGTGTGTGTTGGAAGGAACAACTCGAGTGACCACTCCAAGTCTGCTCATTGCCGTCGGTCGTCTCTCTGTCTATTATGAGCCTGTGACTTCAGTCACTGGTGAATCTGGTGTCCTTCAGCCTTTTCGAAAACATGCCTTCCATGAAATCATGTCGTCCCAGCGTTGGCAGCGCCTACCGTTGATGTGCATCACCCCTGCTCGAGATGCTATCGGCTGCAGTCGTAGCTGCGACTTCCTAGTCCTGCTATTTATGAGCTCTGTGGAAGATGCGAAGAGGGAAGGAAGGAGGCCGCGCGATGGGCTGGCAACTGCCAGTGCTGGCCGCCTGCTCCCCCTTCTGCAGTTCTGGCGTCTGTTCCCTTCCGAGTCTCCCCTTTTGAACTCTTCCATGCCCATTTCTGCAGACCTGATGTTTTGCTTCCTCTTCCTTCTTCTTCTCAAACTCCTCTTTGCCTTCACTTCTCTTCCACACAAGTCTCCGTCACTCACATCTTCCTTGCCGATGCTTCAAGCAATCTCAGATCATTCCATCTCAATCCCTGAAATCCCCATTGCGCCCTTGTCTCGTTAACCCCAGGTCTGCATTCTGTCCACGGACGCTTGTACCATCGCCACCTTGCCATGTATCAGCACCTGCGCACCCATCCCCTCTCCAACCTCTGTCCTAGCACCCAAAGCAGCTCGGCGTTGCCGTCAAACCTTCTCTGCGCGTTGTTGCGGGTCTCTCTGGTGCCACGAGCCCGCGGAGACGCCTCTCCATGACCACATCAGGTAGGTATCCGTTTCCCCCTTGGAAGATTTCACTGTGGCGACAAGCCTGGGGCAATCCGTGACGACGGACGGTACGGTTCGATTCCTGAGGCCCGAAAAGAATTTCCTTTGGGGACGGGGTTCTTTGCCCTTCGGGGTGTTCATTGTCCAAGCCTGCTCAGTTGACGAACTGACGAAATGAACCAACCACGGCAGGTTTATCACGGCCAGAGTGACGGTTTGCATTCTTCTGACAGGTCAGTCCAATAGCTTCCGGAGTCCCTGCCTGATGAAACGCAGAAACTGACCAGTTGAACGTTTAGGATTGCCCACCCTCAGAATCATCTACCCCTGGACACCAGACATATTCCGGTTGCCTTGGGTCTGGCTCTCATAGCTTATCGCGGTCGGCCGATTGCGTTGAGAAAGGGTTGCCTCAGTCGTCGTTGCTTTTTCCTCGCACAAGTTGGGGACTTTGTTGCAGGGTGATTCATGGTCGTCGCATCGAACTACCGCCCGAGTCTGTGTACTGTGCTTCCAATCTCATTGTTGTTCCAATGAGTCAATCAAAATCTGTAACCCATCGTCTAGGCTGTCACCGCTTTTGCAGGCCCCATGTGATGTTGCCGCCCTCCGCGATGCACCTTCAGCTTGTTTACTACCCTCCGACTGGAGGCGGGGACTCCAACGCAGCTCGACTTCCACGCCAAGATGGCGAAGGTACTCTGACCTTGTTATCAGCTTCTCTAATGAGGGCATGCTTTCCAGCTGCAGTGCCGTGAGCTCGATGTTGCTGACTTTGTTCATGACAGCCTGGCTGTCAGTGAAAATCGTCACCTTAGGACGTATGGACAAGTTGTCGATTTGCTGCATCCCGTCGTCACTCGCGCATGCCAGCTGGGTGGCGACAAGTGCCAGCGCCTCAGCGACGGACCTCAGGCCGGCTTCGATGTTCTGGGTTGTAGAATTGATTTGTGACGGGCCTAGGCTAAACGACTTCTTTTCCCAGATGTGGTCCGCATTGCTATTGTGGTCCATGTTTCCAGAGGCCATTTTGCACACAACGCCGGCCCCAGCCGACCTCATCCCAGTGGTCTGGTTGCGCTTGCCCCCTTTGGCGCTGGTGAATAGGATGCGGTGGTACGGGTCGAAAGAAGTGGCAGAAGCCTCGATAGCATTCTGGATAGCCTCATCTTTGCTCTGGATGGTGATGTTGCCACAGAATTGCAGATGGTCAGTTTCCGTGAGTTCTGTTGGTCTGCTGCTTCTGGTTACGTTTAGGAGAGCCGCTATGTTGCTTCGATTGGCCTGCCGCCATTCTTTTCGGACTAGCCTGGCCTGACGCTGCAGTGCGCGGGTGATCTTTCTCTCCCGCTTGGTCGGTGGTGTCTTTCTCATACTCTCGGCATCTTTCTTGGTCAGAGGCTGCTGTTTCCTCATGAGCTCGTCATATAGCTGGACCCGGCGTCCGATGCGTTGCTGGCCCTTGGTCGGGCCCTGGGTGGCAAGTTGCGCCGCTAGGGATTTCTTCTTGTAGTTGGCCATTTTTTTCGTGTTGGTGGGATGGAAAGGATTTGCGGGTTGGAAGTTTTCTGTACGATTTGGTAGGTCGAGGAGTCGCTGTGAATTTATAGTTGCTCTTGTGGCTTGTTTTGGATCATTAAGTGCAATTCTTGAGGATTACATGTTGCTTGGGCATATCGGATGGGCCTTTAGACTGACGCTAAGCTACCAACCGGTGAAGTACTTTATTTTAGTCGCGTTTTAGTGAGGATTTATCTCCAGGCACTTTTATGTTGTGTCAGGGACGGAGAATTCCATGTGCATAAAAGTGACTGTGACTTTCCAGTGGCATTCAGCTCAGTGAGGAAGCAAGGGCTATAGTGGTGGTGATGGCCACTAAAGTCCCACTTCGATAGTCCTCAATTTGCTTTACACTCAAGCCTGCGGGTGAGTCACTTTGTCAGTGTAACTAGGGGCTTACTAGGGTATTCACCATGGAGTAATATTGATAAGTATATGCAATCTCCAATAAAAGGTAAATAGTCTAGGTAGTGTTCTAGTTTGCTAGACAATATATAGCAAAAAGTGAATGCCTTGGGTTGCAAAAGGTTTGTAGTGACAGCTGTGAGATTTGAACTCACGCCTCTTTCGAGATCGGAATTGAACATGAATGTTTCATGTAAGCATTATGCTTGAGACCGACGCCTTAGACCACTCGGCCAAACTGCCTTTGTTGGGCAGCGTTGAGAAATCACAACATTATATGAGGCATTGTGTAAGCCCCGCCGCCCCTCAGCTTGAGGTGAAGGGAGCGAGGATGGTGCTCCATCTCAGATGTGGCGCCAGGCCAAGACTCAAAATGCAAGCCCCACACGTGTTCCTCGACTGGATGATATGCAGGCTGTGTGCGACGAGGGACTGGAAAAGTTCAGCTTCCAAGTTGAACCTGATGAGTGAAAGTGCTGCTGGAGCAGACCGTTCTGTAACGTCACTACCTAGCTCACAGAACTTACCAGTAAGTAGAGACAATTCAAAGTGATCTTGCTCCAACACTCTTTGGCCAAGCTAGATGAGGCCAGTAATTACCCGAAATTCACAAAGCTGAACATGAGTTGAGAGCATGACCTCTTGTGCCCCCTTCTCATGGCAATTAAGTATATAGAGGTCAGCAAATGATATAACATGGGCGGGGTAATGCGCAGACAAGTTCATCCACGTCTACCGCCTGACCACCGTCGCCAAGAACCATTGGCGTCGCCAGACAGCCTCGTCAGCAATGGGGAAAACCAGGCAAACACTCGGCACCGTCCTGCACGCCAGCCTTTCTAACCCCCACGGGGGCGTAGCTGACTACATATCTATTTTGTTGTTTTGTATGCAATGCGCGTACTGTGGCGTCATCCACTCCACATGTTCCGCCTCCCATTATCGAATCGCCAACATCTTTTCTTTTTACACAGCAGCCTAGCTTCCAGAATGATGACTTGTCTTTTGACCGGTGAGAACGCCATCGGGTGCTGGTCCGAGCCGAGAACATAAGCACATTATTGATCAAGACTTCAGCGTGGCGAGAGCTGAATGGGTTTGGAAAGCCACCGCACACACCGGTGTCATATGGGATGCGAGTCACATGGAGCCGTATTTGACCTTCTCGAGGCCCGTGACGTAGAGGACGTCGGATGGCTTTTGTATAGGTGGTAAAAAATCCCTCCTCATTGCGGGTTTCTTTCCCAAAACTGCATGCCCTTTTGACATTTTGGGCGACGAACCTCAGGGTGGGCAGCCACGGAAATCAAAATGCCGAAGTTACAGAGAGGTAAGCAGGACCATACATTCCAAGGTTCTCCTCGAACACAGTGGGACTGGCCAACTACTAACTAGTTTGTTAATAAAGTGGACAGCGGGTTCCCAATTCCCACCAGACAATCACCCTTAAAGCAGCGCGGAACACAAGTCGATGACTCCGCCAGGACAGGTCTGATCGTCTTTGGTGTCCTTCTTGTCCTCGGCCTCGTGTTCTTGATCTGGTTCGGCTGCTTCTACTTGGGCCGGCAACCGGCACGTCCCGGTCCGCGTGGGCCGAGGGGCTGGCCCGGACGTCCTGGCACCAACGGGCGTCCCGGCTTACCTGGTCGCCATGGTCCACCAGGGATACCAGGCCCCCAAGGCAGACCAGGTCCACAAGGGATGCAAGGCATACAGGGACGCCAAGGGTGGCCGGGCCCGCCAGGTAGAAGTGGTCGTCAAGGCGAACCTGGGAAGGACGGGAAAGATGGAGAACAGGGAGCAATAGGCCCACCAGGAGTCCCAGGAGCACGGGGCGAGCGTGGGCTGCGAGGGTATAGAGGAAGGCGGGGTCGGAGAGGAGGACCGGGTGAGAGAGGGCCACGGGGCGACATAGGGCCACCGGGCGGCATTGGCCCACGGGGCGGCATGGGGCCACGAGGCGACATTGGCCCACGGGGCGGAATCGGACCACAGGGCAACACGGGGCCACCGGGAGGGAGCGGGCCACCGGGGCCACCGGGACCACCAAGCCGGCCTGTCTGCCACCCCAGGCCAACACCTGTCTGCCACCCCAGGCCAACGCCTGTCTGCCATCCCGAGCCAACGCCTGTCTGCCACCACTCGCCACGGCGTAGCTACCACGGTGAGCCATGCCAGTGCTCTGGGCGCCCAAGGAACAGCAACATGATCGTCAACCAGTACTAATCTTGAGGACGATACCATACTCACTCAGCGGTTAGTCAAGCGCTACTTCTGGTTCTATAAAATCCAGTATTTCGATCCCAGTATGATGAAGCATTGCTCGCCCAGTCAGGGACAAAGCGTAGTTGTGTATTCGGAGGAACCATCAGGTTATATATAACTAAAGCTTGCTGACAGCCCAACGTAGATCTCTTGAGCCCACTATAATAAATATAGAGAGCATCGGCGGGAGTAGCATCACCCACCGCCCCTCGGTCCCTGACTCGACCGACTTTATGAATCCTCATCATCACCCTCACTCCAACGGTCCATGTGCTCATCATTACTGTCAGGCGCCGACTCCTCCCGGTCCCGGCAGCAAGCGCCGCAGAACACGATCGACGTGCTCTCTGATGCGGCCACTGTCTTGTCAAAAAGCTCAAAGGGTTTACATCGATGACTCGGTTCGACCTGGAGCATGCTGCCCACCCATTCCAGGGCCTCGTTGAGCTCCGGGGATGACCGCTCCCGCAGGGACTCGACCCAGGCGGCGATGTGGCCCGGCGCGGCATTGTCGTGGAAGCTGGTGCTGTCGGAGCGGTCCTTGAAGAAGGCCCGCATGTCGGCGGGCGACTGTCCCTTCAGCACGGTGCACATCTCCAAGAAGACGCACCCGAGTGACCAGACGTCGGCAGTCTGGTTCTTGGGCCCGCCGCGCGCGACCTCGGGGGCGGCGTAGACCCAGGTCCGGTCGAGGTCCGCCGTGGTTGTTGCCCGCGTGAGCCCTTGCCAGCTGCGCGCGATGCCAAAGTCGGTCACTAGCACGTGGCTGTTGTCCTTGACGAGGATGTTCTGGGGCTTGATGTCCTGGTGGACCACCTTCTGGCTGTGCAGGTAGTTCAGCGTGCCCGCTAGGCACCCGAAGAAGCCCTGGAGGATGGAGCGTTTGTCTGGGTCGTCCACGGCCAGTGAGTAGTACTTTTCCAGGTTGCATTCGGCCACGGGGTGCATTATCAGGGCAAAGTACCGGGGGTCAGAGTAGCTGCCGACCTTGACGTAGATTAGTGGCCTGGTCTGACGGACCAGCAGCTGGAGTCAAGATGGATATGGTGAGTGAGTGTTAAAACAGACATACCATGTCAATACAATGCCTATTGCGCAGTGTCTTAAGGATCTTGACTTCATTGAGAAAAGTCTTGGCTTCTTTCTGATTGATCGTAGCTTGAGATCTCTTGAACCGCTTCCGAGCAAACTCCTTGTAACTCAGCGTGCTGACAACCTTGTCGACAAAGCCATGAGCACCACTTCCCAGGTTTCCGATGACTTTGAATGGGAGGGGCTCCCCGTGATCAAAGTGAGCATGCTTGCGGTGCAACCTTTGGTCGTCGAGCTTGGCGCCCCTCTCGAGCTCGAGCGCCTTCGAGAAGACGGCCTCCTGGGTGTCGAGAAATTGGGTCCTGTGCGGCTCCTTGAGCGCCTTCGGAAGGGTGTTGCGTGAGAACGGAAAATAGATATCCGTCATTCCGCGCTGCAGAAAGGTATCGACCAGCTCCACCTGGCCGACGAGACGCAGCACTGTATATATCCTCGGCACCTCGCTCCAGCTCTCGTGGCCTGTATTTCGGAGATACGAGGCAATGTCCTTAAAATCGGCATCGGTGTATTTGGACTTAGAATCCCAGCCAGATTCGGGGAAGAGTTCGTTGAAGCCCCTGGGTCGATTTATTTGGGCTTGTGGACCAGGTTCGGGACTCTGGGGCGTCCCAACACTTGGTGTAGACTCACAACTCGGTGGGACTTCATTTTGGGCTTCGTTCGGGGCTTCGTTCAGGGCAACCAACACGATGGACATGGCCAACAGCGAGACTAGCTTCTCCTGGTGTTCCTGGATCTCAGCCTGCTCGTTCTGGTCCACCCAATCTGTGACACCGTCGACCGAGTCGAGCAAGGACTTGATGCTGGGCGTCTGCGTGGTCGCCAGCAACTTCGTTCGTAGACCCTCGGCTTTGGATCGAATCTCAGAGATTTTTTCCCCTCTCACCTTCTCATCCGCCAGGTCTCGTTCCACCTCATCAAGCATTCTCTGGCACCCGCGACAGTCGACAGGGTCCCCAGGCCCGAGCTCGCCCAGCCATTTCCGCCACCGGCGCAGTGAATAGAATAGGTTCGTTATTTTCTTTGTCTGGAAAGCAGGTGGTTGAAACTCGACCAGAGATGCGATGCGCAATTCTAGAGCGCGACGCTCCGAGACCAATGCCTCCTCCTTGATGTCGTCCTCTTCGTAAGCCACGGCTTGCGCAATTAGGCTGTTCATCTCCTCCGTGCTTCTATGCTTCACCATCTGCCACGCTGATGAGCTCGTCGATTTACCCTCCAATATCGCACTGGCACACACAAACTGCCTGCGGTCGATTTCAAATGTAACCTGTATCTTGGTCTTGGAGCGGTCGTCATTCCACTTGGGCGGGAGTTCAGAGAGGTCCAGCGTGCAAATGAGGAGGTTATCTTTGACCCTTTTCCTATTTCCCTGGTAGAAATGCAAGATAGGGCGTTCGTGAGGCACAAGGGCGAAGTCAGACAAGCAGTAGGTCTTCGCTTTGGTTGTCGGCAAGGATGTGTTGCGAGAAACCACTGTGCTCATCATTCCACCTTCTATTTTCAACCCAATGTTGAGCGGTACGATGGGATGCACTGACAACTTAGGATACGGAGACTGTGCAGAGAAGTTGGCGGCAAAGATTGCACATCCCAAGACCTCACACTCATCCGGATTCACCACCTTTACCAAGGGTTTGGAATCGAAGTAATGGGACCAGATTTCCTGGAGCTTGGGAATACGTGAGCAGCCGCCCACTATGACGATGTCGTTGACAGAAAACTTGTCCCACTTGTTGTTGACAATTGACCTGTCTCGCCTGTCCTTGACAGCTGACTTGTTTCGTCTGTCTTTGGCGGATGACTTGTCCCGCCCGTCCTTCTTAGATGGCTTTTCCCGTGTGCCCTTAGCAGATGACTTGCTTTCCCTTCCGGACACATCGTGG